AGAGATCATGCCTCACAAATCCACCACCACCACCCCCTTTTTTTTTTTTACATTTTTAAAATTTATTTTTATTGGGAAGTCAGATATACAGAGAAGAAGAGAGACAGATAGGAAGATCTTCCTTCCGATGGTTCACTCCATAAGTAACTGCAACGGCCGGAGCTGAGCCAATCCAAAGCCAATTGCAAGGAGCCTCTTCCATGTCTCCTAAGAAGATGCAGGGTCCCAAGCCTTTAGGTCATCCTGGACTGCTTTCCCAGGCCACAAGTAGGGAGCTGGATGGGAAGTGGAGCAGCTGGGACTAGAACCGCCATCCATATAAGATCCTGGCGCGTTAAAGACGAGGACTTTAACCACCAGGCTACCACACCGGGCCCACAAATCCCTTTTAAGAAAGGTACTTTAGGGCCCAGTGCGGTGGCCTAACAGCTAAAATCCTCACCTTCAACGCGCTGGGATCCCATATAGGCGCCAGTTCTAACCCCAGCAGCTCCATTTCCCGTCCAGCTCCCTGCTTGTGGCCTGGGAAAGCAGTTGAGAACAGCCCAAAGCCTTGGGACCCTGCTGGCTTCGGATCAGCTCAGCACCAGCCATTGCAGTCACTTGGAGAGTGAATCATTGGACTGAAGATCTTCCTCTCTGTCTTTCCTCCTCTCTGTGTATCTGACTTTGCAACAAAAATAAATAAATTTAAAAAAAAAAGGTACTCTAAATAACAAAACAAAACAAAACAAAAGCACAAAAGAAAGAAAGGAACTCTGGGGGCAGGCACTAGAGCACAAAATATTCCATATCAGATTCCGGCTCCATATTAGAGTGAGGGCTTCAAGGGCCAGCAACTTCACCTCTTATCCAGCTTCCTGCTAATGCAGCTAGAAAGGCAGCTGATGATGGTCCGAGGGTTTGGGTCAAGGCCACTCATGAGGAAGATCCCAATGGCGTTCTGGCCCAGCCCCCACTACTGCAGTGAGTTGAGAAGTGGATGGAAGAGTGATCTCTATTTCACTGATTTTGTCTCTCCCTCTCAGATTTTGTCACTCTGCCTTTCAAACACTAAATAAAATCTTTACAAAGAGAGGAAGAGGATCCGGTGTGATGGCCTAATGGCTAAATCCTCACCTTGAATGTACCAGGATCCCACATGGATGCAGATTCCCATCCCAGCTGCTCCACTTTCCTTCCAGCTCCCTGCTTGTGGCCTGGGAAAGCAGTCAAGGGTGGCCCACTTCCTTGGGACCCTGCACTGGCGTGGGAGACATGGAAGAGACTCCTTGCAATTGGCTTTGGATTGGCTGAGCTCCGGCCGTTGCAGCTACTTATGGAGTGAACCAGTGGATAAAAGATATTATTCTCTGTATCTCCCTCTCCATATATATCTGCTTTTCCAATAAAAATAAATAAATCTTGGGCTCAGCACAATAGCCTAGTGGTTAAAGTCTTTGCCTTGCCTGCACCGCGATCCCACATGGGTGCCGATTTTAATCCCAGCAGCTCCACTTCCCATCCAGCTCCCTGCTTGTGGCCTGGGAATGCAGTTGAGGACAGCCGAAAGCCTTGAGACCCTGCACCCATGTGGGAGACCCATAAGTGGTTCCGGGCTCCTGGCTTTGGAAAAATGCAGCTCTGGCTCTGTTGCAGCCACTTGGGAAATGAATCATTGGACACAAAGTCTTCCTTTCTGTCTCTCCTCCCCTCTGTATATCTGACTTTCCAATAAAAATTAGATAAATAAATCTTTTAAGAAAGAGAGTGCAAGAGAGAGGAAGAAACTGAAAGTAGTTCTCAGAGCAGTCTCACCCATCTTTCCAGACAATGCTCAGGTCCTCTGTGTCCAGCTTGCCTTTGGCTCAAGACATTTCCATGATATAAGAAGGGACTAAAAGAGGAGGGGCGACTTGGTAGCTGAGGATGGATTTTAATGTGCAATGAGGAACAAGTGCCTTGTATGGTGCTGCTATAGCTCCACCCTGGCCTCTCTCTCAGCCTCATTCTGTGGTCACTGTCCCTGGCTACACAGATCAAACTTGCATGCTATCTCCACCTCTCCTAACCCCACCGGGACATATCAGGGCTCTCATACACTCTCTCTCCTGAAGACTGCCTCTGCCTTTCTATTCCTCCCACTTGACAGCCCACAGAGCTGCCCAAAGAATCTCTCCTGCGTTTTTTTCCATGCTTTGGCTCAGCAAGGGACAAATCTAACTAGCCAGTCTGTGAGGTGGTGGGGAGGACATCCTTCTAGACTTCCCACAAAACCAAGTACAGCGTTTGTTCTTGACATCTGGGAAACATACTATAGCTGATTTACTAAAAAGATCAATTTGCAATGATCCCCATACTTGCAAGTCCAAAGGACTGGTGCAAACCACACAAGCTCCCACTGGTCTACAAGGCCCCTTTGTGCAACTTATGAAAACTGTGCTTTCTGGAGGGCACCGGAAGAGCTGTGAAATGATCTGGTGGTGTATTGTGAGTATATGTATGGACAAAAATCTCAGCAGTGTGCACCCCTCACTGTACATTCAGCACATACTCATCAATAGGGAAAGCAGTGCCTGAGTGAATCATGCCCCCTCCCCTAACAGGAAGCAGCCCACACTGCGACACAGCTTGGAGAGGGGAGCTTGAGACAGAACTCGGCCTCCTCCCAATCTGGTGTTGCTTGGGAAAGACACTGCCTATCCAGCTGCACACGGCAACCCTGGGGTCAGCCTGGGCTCTGACGCCCACAGCCCCTTCACACACCAACACCCGAGAGCAACATGAAGGGTGTGGCAGCACTGCTCCTCCTGGCATTTGAACCAGGCTCTGCCTCTGCTAACGCCACCCTCTCCCGAAGCCCAAGTCAGCTCAGCATGAGGACAAAAAGAAAGACTAATTCAGTCTGGAGTGAAGAGAGAATTCAAGCACCCCTGAACTTCAGTTCCCATTTCCCTCTGGCAGCTAGAAAGATGAGCTCTCCATGACCTGCTCCTCTAGCCACCTCTGGGAGGGGTGTGGCTGCTCTGAAATGCACCTTCTTGCTGGCAACCAGCAGGTCCCTGTGCCAGGCTTCTTTCCTGAAGGCTCAGAAGCACATGCCACGGGGCTTCATCAATGGGCCAATCTGTTCAGCAGCATCTCAGAACAGAACAGGCTAAATTTGGAATCAGGTATCTGAGATGCTCTGCTGAGAGGGAATGGGAGCTGTTCTGACACCAAAGACGAAACCAACCATGGAATTGCCAGGCTAAGCCAGGTATCAGCTGGAAGAGTAAGTCCATCTCCTATGGGTCCCTCATTCTGAGCTTTGGGGACACAGGGCCAGATCGCCTCCTGATCTGAGAGTTGCTCGTGTGTGAGCCCTGTGCAGAGCCAAACAAGAAAGAGAGAGAGATGGTGTGACTGACTGCTAATTGTAGCAAGGGCTTCCAGCTTTCCTCACTCACAGCCGTTGGCCCTGCAGCAGAATACCTATTAAAAAGGAAACACGGACTAGGACCATGAGCAGTGGACCCCTGCCTCCTTTCAGCCCTACCCAAGTCTTCTCAAAATATTCCAGAGGCTTGGTTCTGCAACACATGAGAAGCTACAAGACGAGCAGCCTGTTTGGTTTCCAAAGAATAATGCCCGTTCCCCAAACAGAGCTCCTCCAAGCAAGGTGTTTTTCCATTTGGCTGTAGGTTTCCCTCAGAAGGAAAACACTACAGTCCAGGTGGGTCCAGGGAACACCCAGACAGCACCTCAACATACAGCCAAATGGACAGGGCTCACCACTCTGAGAACCAGTTTGCTGTCCAGCTGCATGACAGCAATAACCCAGGGAGAGAAAACAAAGCCCACCTCTGAAAAGGATACTTGCACGCTTGCCTGGCTGCAAGCAGGTTTCAGGCCACCCATGGGAGCTTTCTGACCACTAGCTAAGAAACATGACTGGTGAAAAAATAAACACAAGAGACAAGTAGCTGGAGAGCTGAAGAATCAAAAATGACACTTCCTCAGACCTGAGGAAAAATGCATTCTTCCCCCGCCCAGACCCCAGGCTCTGCTACTCCCCACGTCTAGTTGGTGTCAAGATGATGCCTTCCATTTTATTCTGCCACCTCTTGGTTACTCCCTGAAGTGTTCAGTTGGCTGACAATCTATCTTGGCATTCCCCTCTACTGCGTCCACTGCTACTTGATTATTTTCTTGGGACCTGGGTCTGGCATACACCTAAAGCGAATGGGTTTCATAGTATTCGATCAGATACACTCTGTGTCAAGCATTCCATGAGGGTTTTGGCTTTTCCACGGCTTTGAGCCGGTTGCTCTACATCATGAGGCAACAAGAACCTCTCTGGTGGTAGAGGATGTGTTGGCATTTTTGCTTCGCCCCAAAAGTGTCTCACCAAGCCTTCCCGAAAGCACATGACCCTGTTAGTACAGTCAAACCTACTGGTGTACGGTGGGGGCTGTTTTCTTTCTTCCAGCGATGGCTAAGCCACCAAATGCCTGAGGAAAGTGCAAGACCAAGATCACGGTTCAACTATGCCCGCATCTTTCTGTTCCTCACCATGACACTTATCTCCCTTGACAGCCACTCCCATTGTGCTGCTTCCTAGGCCCAACACAATGAACATCTGCAGACACTGGCAGACAAGGAGGACGTTTTCCATCCCACTGCTTCCCTGTGCAGAGGGACCAGGCTAAGGTTACATAAGCCCTTCCTGGGCGGTTGGGCCCACCTCTAGGGGGAGAATGAATTTGGGGTTCGTGATGGAGTCACGGTCTGCAGGCCCTGACTGACCCTGTGGCTCGTCAACCCTGCCTCCGCAAAGCAGGGTAGCTAGAATGGGAAGGCGCGCTTCCCTTCCTCCCTCCACGCCCCGCGAGGTGGGTACCTCATGACAGCCTGTCACGATTCAAAGCCATGGCCTGACGTGCAATCTGCATGTCCACACTAGACCGAGGAGTCCCAGGGCCCTAGACCAGCCTCAGGCAGCAGCTCCCCGCCCCCCGGGCGCCGAGACGCGCGCTTACCTGCCTGAGCCCGGACCGGGACCGGGACCGGGACCAGGGCCAGGGCCAGGGACCGGTGGTCCCACGGTCACCCGCGCCGCGCCCGCCACGGGGAGCTGTCCACCGCCGACTGGTGCTGAAGGCGGCTTCCCTGCGCCGGGGCCCGGGCCAGGGCCGGGGCCAGGGCCTCCCGGAGGCAACAGCCCGTCGCCAACGCCGCCCTCTAGGCTGGCCTCGTTGCCCATGGCAGGCAGGCAGGCGGGAGGGCGGGCGAGGTCGGGGTCGCACTACGCCCAGGCGGGCGGCTCCCGGGCGGGTGCTCACACTCTCGGAGCCGCCGCCGCCATCTCCCAGCTCTGCTCGCGCCGCCGCCTGCCGCCGCGCATGCGCGTCGCTCTCACCCCTTTCCCTACACACGCCTCCCCTTTCCACCTCCCGCGCGCGCTCCCGCTAGCCTGAGAGGACGCGTGTGCGCGCGCCTGCCTCGCGGTCGCTGGGAGAAGGCCTCCGGCGCCCGCGCATGCGCTCCCCGGGGCAGCAGCACACCGCCTCGAGCTGGCCGGGCGGGCAGGGGTCGTAGAATGTTCCACAGGATTAGTGTGGAAGGTCACCGGCAGCTAGAAGTGGTCGTGGAATTAGTGGTGCTTTCGGCCCCGGAAACGCGGGAGTGGAGACTGCCTCAGCGGGCGGGGAGTCTTGGGGCCGCCCGCCTGTGGCCTCACAAGATGCCAAGGAATTGCAACGGAAAATGAACAACGGTGTTGAAAGACACAACGTCCTAAGAGGAAGGAGAGAGGATGCAGTAGGGCCGGATGGCCAGGGTCTCAACGGCCGGTGGAGGATTGAAGCCCGAGTGCGAGCCAGGAGGGATTCACTCTGAGGGCTGGGCCCAAGAAGAAATCTCAAGAAGTGCCCGGGAAAGAGAGAAGTTGGTCAGGGCTGGTCTGAAAGCAGCTGGAAGGCTGCCTCCGCAGGCCCTGGGACAATGACCTTGGAGATGGGGGCAAGGGCGGGGACCTGGAGCTCTGGCTGCAGGTGAGGCTGCAGGTGGCCTGTGTGTTGAGAGCTCGCTCCATGTGGGGTTTGCAGGCCGACAGAGGTGTCTGCACTTTCTCCCGGGACAGTATTTCCTAGACGAGCCAATGTTCCAAATTCTCCCTGGCTTCATCAATGTAAGAAAATGCCAATGGGGTATTTTCAAAGGACGTGACCGGCCTCAGTGCAGCCATAGCAGAAACCTCCAGCTACACAGACTGTCCTGGTGCCGTGGCTCAACAAGTTAAACCTCCACCTTCAAGCACCAGCGTCCCTCCACCTTCAAGCACCAGCGTCCCATGTGGGTGCTGGTTCTTGTTCGAGCTACTCTACTTCCCATCCAACTCCCTGCTTATGGACTGGGAAAGTAGTGGAGGATGGCTCAAGTTCTGGAGCCCCTGCACTCACATGGAAGACCAGGAAGAAGCTCTTGGTTCCTGGCTTCAGATCAACTCAGCTCATGCCATCGTGGCTACTTGAGGAGTGAACCAGCAGATGCAAGATCTTTCTCTCTGTCCCTCCTCCCTGTAAATCAGTCTTTCAAATACAGATACATTTTTTTAAATGTTTAAGCATTTTTAAAGTGGGGAAAAAAAAGCTGCAACTGCTAAAACATGTTTGCAACTCTGCTTATTTGCTTTGTCTGTAATGCAATCTATAACCATCACTGTTCTCTTCTTGGAGTAGTTCTCCTTTTCTTTTCCTTTTTTTCCTGGTGTAGTTCTAAACAAACAATTCTAACAAGTCTTCCCACACAAGGCCTCTGCTGCAGTCCTGTTTGCCCAGCATCTGTTCTAGACAGCCCATCACCTGCCCCATCTTGGGCTACATTTGAGAAGATTGTGACTCCCAAAGTACTCAGCCAATGAGGAATTAGGGGAGAGGACCTGCAGCCTGATTAAAGGGTGCTTGGTTCCTGCAGAGTCACAGATAAAAAGCCTTTCTTCTCCCCACTTTCATGTGTTTGGGTCAGTCCTTCAGGGGGAAGCTGCCCTTCACGGGTTTATTCCCACAGTGGATCATGATGTAGAAGGGCTTAAATAACTTGGATCCATCTTTTTTAGTAAGATTTATTTATTTTATTTGAAAGGCAGAATTACAGAAAGAGAGGAGAGAAACAGATCTTTCATCCGCTGGTGTACCCTCCACACCCCCCCCCCCACAATGATGGCAGCAGCCAGGCCAATGCCTGGAACTCCACTGAATCTCAGGTGAGTGGCAGGGGCCCAAATGCTTGAGCCATCTTCTGCTACTTTCCCAGACAGGTGGAACGGGGAGCTGGATTGAAAGGGCGGCAGGTGGGACTTGAACTGTTACTCACATGGGATGACGGTGTCTGTCACATGTGCCACCATGCCAGTCCCAACTTGGACCCATTCTACAAACCCACTTAATTTAATCATAAGGATTGTGTCACATGGGATTTCAGCAGTTCTTTTTTAAAATTTATTTTTAATAGAAAGGCAGATTTTACAGGGAGAAAGGAGAGAGAGAGAAAGAGCGCTCTTCCATCTGCTGGCTTACTCCCCAAATGGCTGCAACAGCCAGAGTCAACCCAAAGCCAGGAGCTTCTTCCAGGTCTCCCATGCAGTTGCATCATCACAAGGCTTTGAGCCATTCTCCAGTGCTTTCCCAGCCCACAAACGGAGCTAGATTGGAAGTGGAGCAGCTAGGACAGAACTGATGCCCAAATGGGATGCAGTGCAGAGTGGAGGATTAGCCTGATGTGCCACTGCACTGGCTCCAATTTCAGCAGTTCTAACCTGGCTGGGGAATAATCAGGTGTTTCCATGAACACACATGGGCAACCTGATGCAGGCACCTGTGCAGTGTCAGTTCTGGCCCTCCCTGGGCCTGCAGTCCTGAACTGCTAGATGGGGTGAATAAAAGAGCAAGCACAGCCAGGTAATAGGCATGCAGAGCCACCTCTCTCCCCAGTGTTGTCTATTGACTGGGTTCTGCTGCCCTTCAGGCTGAAGGACCCATCCTTGCTGGAACCACTTGGGACAAAGAGACCCTCCCTGCCCATACTGTGGCCCTCACTGTGCCTCCCCCTTAGTGAAGGGTGTTGTGATAGCAACTATAGGTGCACATTTAGGTCCCACAGGTGTCCACATCTCATTCCTGCCACTCCCCACATGGCACCTGTGTGACTTCCTAGCCTTCAAAGTTGGGATATTAGTAGCACCTGACACACACATCACAACTCTATTATTATTTGGCCCTGTGGTGAATTTAGAGGTTTTGTGTCATACTTTCCCTCCTGGGCAAGAAACACACATGTATGCATGTGCCCACACGTGTGTGCACTCACACACACACACACACACACACAAGCACTATGGGCAAGCCCTGGCCTGACCCTGTCCAAACACAGACTGTTCTGGCTTCACAAACACCAGTTGGTATGGCTTGGGTAACTTGGAAGGGGGGAAAGGATGTTTATTTCTTGTCTGTAGAAGCCCCAGGAGCTGCAACTTTCCACATGTTTAAGTCAACAGGCCCTGGTTCCTGTGGGGGTAATTAGTCCTACCCAATCAGCAGGCCTAGGGAGTTGGTTCCACACAGTGGACTCCTGACTGTGAGCAGACCATCCCTCCCCAAGAGTCCCTGCTGCCTTGGTGACAGCACAGCCCAGGGAGTCCAGGAAGGCTCCAAGTGTGGGTTGGTAGTGGCCCCTCTCCTCCTCTCAAGTTTTGCCTCTGCAGAGCACCCCCCAGGAAGTTGTCTGCCCTGGCCTATGTCTGCCCTGGCATTCAGCCCAGGGACTCCTGGCAACCACAGTGTGGTGCTGGCCTCTAGCTGACCAGCACCCAAATTCAGTCTCCCATTTATATTCACTGATTCAGGATCATTTCCTTCTCTAACCAAACTTGGTATCCTCAGCCAAAAGACCCTATCTGACGTGGTCTGTGCCCTAGACTGCCCCTCACCCTGTTCCAGCTGCTGACATGATAAGTACCCACTCTGAGTTTACATTTGGCTTCTCACAGAGAAGATAGTTGCTGGGCTGTCTTCACTCAGCCAGGAAAATTCACTTCACTTGATGACCAGTGAATAAATACATCTCAGCTGGTACAAATTGGCTGAGTGGTGTGCTCGGTCCCACCCCCTTCCTGCTGACCCACCAAGGATGGGATGAACCTGGGAACTGCGCAAAGGTTTGCCAGCCCCTCAGTCTTCACTTGCTGAAAGTATCTTCTTCCCAAGTTAGTTTGACAGGTGACATGTGGAAGATGTGGTGGAGAAAGTCCAGAGAGAAGAAGAATCTATGCACACACCGAGACAGGCCATTGGGTGGACAGGTGTTCTCTCGCTTGTCCAGCTGTGCTCCTTGTGGAACATTAGAGAGGAGACAAAAAGAAAAATTAGGGCCCAGCGTGGTAGTCTAGCAGCTAAAGTCCTCACCTTGAACGCACAGGGATCCCATTTGGGTGCTGGTTCTAATCCTGGCTGCTCCACTTCCCATCAGCTCTCTGTGTGTGACCTGGGAAAGCAGTCAAGGACAGCCCAAAGCCTTGGGACCCTACAACCATGTCGGAGAGGCGGAAGAAGCTTCTGGCTCCTGACTTCAGATTGGCTCAGTGCCAGCCATTATGGTCACTTGGGGAGTGAAACATCAGATGGAAGATCTTCTTCTATGTCTCTCCTCCTCTCTGTATATCTGACTTTGCAATACAAGCAAATCTAAAAAAGAGAGAGAGAGAGAAAAGAGAAAAGTAATAGAGAAAAATAATAATACTAATCAACTCAAGTAGGAAAAGGCCCAGTCACAACCGGCTTCCTGCTAGGGTGAGTGGGTGTGATTAGACACTGGCAGATAGTGTTGGGGAACTAAAGGATGGCAGGACCACCCTAGGAGCAGTAGCCAGAGAGCAGCTGGGTCACAGACAAGGCAGCCTGCAGACCTAGGGAGCAACGGCAGGAAGGGCAGAGCCCCAACTCGGGCCTCCCTGCTTCCTCCTCCTACAGCCCAGGTCACCTTACACTAACATGTAAAGCATGGCAGCCTCCATGGGGAAGGGGGAAGCTCAATGGAAAACTTCACAGATCAGGGTGGCAGTGTGGAAGACAGTTGGGAAAGGCATGATGGCAGCACTGGGATCTGTCTGCTTCCACGGGCTCCCAGAACTCTGTGCCCTTCTTCGGTCTCCTTGCCCTCTCTTCCTCTGGGAAGTAGCAACAGAACTGGAGAGAAGGGAAGGCCGGA